CTAATATTTTCTAGTCTTTGGCAATAGCCATTCCAGTTCTTCTTTGAATATACATATTTTCTTCTGTTTTATCACTTTTCTTTTGACATAGATTCCTTAATTTTATCTTCTTCTAATTTGTGTCCTTGATAGTATGATTAATAAGCTATCAAAAAATAATAGTAAAGCTTTTATAGCTTGTACTTATTTGTTTTGGACAAGAGCTACTATGAAGACACATATAAAGATGGAGGCCTTAAAGAGCCAATCTCAACATTGGTAGATCATGGCTTTGAGATCAATATCTTATCTAGAAAGATTAATGAGAAACATAAGTGGCTAATTGATACCAATCATGGATGGGTGTTTAGAACTGGCAATAATGAAAGAGGTAGCCTTTATAGAGCATGTCTATCAGTAGGCATCAAAATTAATGATGTAAAAATAGAGTAAAATTTCTTTGTGTAAAATCGAGGAAGTTATCCAATCCTTTTGAGGCAACCATATATCACTACAACAAGGATGGTGGCCAAGGTATTAGATGATGGCTCACAATATGTTATGATTTGTAGCCATGATGGCAAGATGTTAGTCCAATTTTTTACAATAAGGCCAAATCATAAGAGGCATAGAGATCAACTTAAAAAAATTTCCATGGACTACGAACATGATAATTTTTTGGATTTCTAAATTGCATACATAGAGAATTCAGTGCCATGGATGCAAAGAAATCATCTACTATAACATGCTCTAATATATAGAAAAGTAGTTGTAAGGTTTAGAATTTAACAGAGGATGGATGTATAAATTTTGAAAAGCTGAAAGATTTGGATTCTAAGTATAGAGAATCAATTAAAAAGATAGAAGAAAAATTAAAAAGAATTGATATAATTTTGAATAATGAGTCTATTTTTGGAATTATTGAAAAAAAAAGTTTTTTAAATAATATTTTATAATTTTTAGAAACTTTATAAGAAGAAGATATTGCATCTATTGACATGATGGTAGAGATTCATTGAAGAAGATTGTATGAAGAAATATTAAAGATAGCTATTGATACAAAGTTAATTGAGAGTTATGGCTTAGAGATTCGGACAATAGTGAATACCAAGTATAAAACTGTAGCAAAGAAGGTGAGACTAGTAGCAATACAACTACGATTAGACTCTGAAGATCATATCAAGAAGGCTGAAAAAGAACTTGGAATGAGAGAGATAAGAAGAATTGGACACAATTTCATGGAAGAAATATTGGCCAAGTTAAAGATTTGAGGGAGTGAGTTCTTGAAAAAACCTGAAAAAAAAAATATTTCAAGAAATGATCTCCAAGCATGATAAGGCTTTTGCTTCTTTACTAGATGAGATTGGATGTGTTAATCCAAGGTTATTGTGCAAATGGTCATTTTTACTATTCCACATGTATCTTCGAATTTGAAACCAATTCTTGTACCAAAAGCCTTCCTACCTAAGTTTGTGAGTCTATTGAAGGATAAAAAGAATAAAAAATCATATATATCAAAGAAAGAGTTTATAACTATTAAAAGTTATGTGGTAATGTTCTATATGACCTCCAACACTTATTGACTTTGCTAAACACATGTTTTAACTTTCAAGGTAAGTTTTCTAAATGTATACTACATAGTTAGCTTATTCTATAAGATTCTAATATATGTAATATATGGCTAACTTATTGACCAAGTTTCTAACCAAAAAATACATATAAAGTCAAAGTAGTATCTATGAAGCTTCTAAAAAGCTATTTTAGAAGATATTATGAAATTAATCTATTTTTTCTACTTTTATTTAATCATATAGGTAATTATTTGAATAAATATATATTCATGATAGAATATATATGTATAAAAATTAAATGATTAAAATTAAGATGACTTATTTATATTTAAAGATTTTTAGAAATAAACTAAAAATATATTAAATATATTATTTTAAGAACCTCAATGATTTTTATAACATCAACTAAGAATTTCTTTATTATTAGTGTAATTAAAAAATTGATATCATACATATATTTTTATTACATTTAATATTACATTGCAACATATGTTTTAGCAATTACTATGTTTATTAATATTATTTTTCATCTTACAAATCAAAAATGATTTAGTCACTACCATCAATGGTATTTTTATAAGACATGAAACAATCAAAATTTTCTTTCACCAATTTCTTAAATTGTTCTTTGTGACTTTGCAAATCTTCTTTTCAAACAACTCTTTCAATCTTTAGGTTATTTGCATTGGTATTTGGATATATAGGATCTAAGAAGAAGCTTAAATCAACTCAAACAACATTAAGACTAGAGAGAGTTGAAGGTGTACATGAACTAATACAAATTGTTCTTCATTATTTTAGAAAACACAAGGCGGGAAAAAAATCAACATATTATAAAAGACAATATTAACATGGTGTCCTTTTCTGGTTTGACAACTATATGAAAATAACGTAATTATGTACTTAATATATAATTTATTTAAATAACATGGTGAGAGCCATGTTAGTAGATTTACTTGGTTTTAGAATATAATTTGATTATTACCTTGAGAAGAGGTTGTTTAAAAAGATTACTATAGAATTTGTATAACTTTAATTTTCTTTTGATAGTGGCTTTTAAGATTGGTTTTGGTTGATAGTAACTTCTAAATATTTAGATTCATCTTTGTTAGACATTGGTGATCTTTGAAAACTTATTTTGGTTCTTTTATTTCGTGTTTAGAGCATAAATTATGTAAATATTATAAGAAAAAGGATTGAAGAAGGATTTTGGTAGAAAAAAGATTAATTAAGGTACCAATATAGATGAATGGAGATGGATGATAAAAATCTCTATTCTTATTGGTCAAAAAACATGACCAATGGGCTTTGAGGAGGCTACCTAAGGCCATATTAGAGATTAGGGTTAGTTTTTCAGAGCCATTTGAGCTTTGAAGGCTAAGGTCAGAAAGTTTGGATTTTTGGCTATGGTTTTGGTGCAAATTTCATATGGTTTGGAGTTTAAATGAAGGAGATATAGGCACTCAAAGTTAAGGTATTGATTTGGGAGCTATTGTCACTCTTTTTGTCATAACACACGCGTACGGATAGCATTTGAGGATCGGCGATCACAACTAAAGAGAGCACTTTTGCGGCTACACTTTTTGTAAGTTTCAATTGCTTGCTAGATTCCAAGTTTAAATAAAGGAGTTATTGGATTTTGAAGTCAGCACATGCAATCTAAGGGTAGTAAGTAACCCGATTTATTAGTAGTTGTGTCTTGAGCTATATCTTGAGCAATTTGACAAGGTTTTCGCTCAAAATTTCAGGAAATGTGTAAATTCATGTTAGTAAACTTTTTACATAAGTTTGATGATATTTGAGTATTGGGTTCTTGAGATAATAAGAAAGTAGTGCTCAGATGCTTGTAAATTAGGGTTTAGAGCATATACTAGGGTTTCTTAGATGCCAAAAGATCGGGAGTGAATTTGCAATTGGTTTTTTTTGTGGTAAAATTTAAGGGTGAATTTTACCTATTCTATAAATTTAAGATAAACTGAACGGCTAGATCAAGAGTTATGAATTTTTAAATTTGAGACAAGAAATCTTTTTGTGGAAAAAATATGTTTTGAAGGGATTTTGTTATATTTTGAGTTTTATGCAAAATAAATGAGTTTTGGAAGAAAAGACAAGATTCATATAAAGGTTTAAGCTACACTCTCTACAGCTAGATATCCAGTGTATTCCCAAATAGCAAATCACGCCATACAACAACGGTCTATTTTGCAAGGTTGCAATTCTACATCTAGAAGGTCATGTAAACAATAAGAAAGACATTAAAAAGCTCTACCAAAATTTGAAGGTCTACCATAATGTTTTTCAAAACTAGCAATAATTGCGAAAAAATGACTAGTATAAGTATTGTTGAGAACTATGACTAAGAAGAAGGGACCAAACTGAGAAGATGGACATCGAAGATAATTGAGCTAGAGCCACATGTGTTTGCCTTTTTCAAAGGTGCTTAGAATTTATTTCAAATGAAGCAACTTAGCTCAACCATTGTTTTGTATATTTTTTATAACAGCAATTTTCTAAATTAAAGTAGAAAATATCAATTACTATTTAAGTATAAAGTTATCATATAGAATCCCTTGATTTAGTATGAAGCTATATGTATAAATAGTAAAGAGTGATAAATAAATTAATTATTTTTATATTTATATTTTATAATATATATATATATATATATATATATATATATATATAATTTTTTTCTTTGTTAATTAATATCATTTTTTTTCACAAAAGATACCAATTATCTTTTGTTTATTAACTATTAGAACAATGTACAATATTAAATACCTAAATTCTAGATAAAATTAATTTCTAGAATTTTGAGTAATTATTGGAGGTTATTAGATTTTGGAGGATTAATTATTAAGGGAAGAGGAGAGGGATAATTTTGTATATCTATACGTATGTATGTATATAGGAATATATATATATATATATATATATAGTTTGGTAAAGCAATCTCATACAAAAAAATTCGTTTAATAGTAATTGAATTACATACACACATGTGAAATAACATGCAATTTTTTAATAGATGGCACCATATTATGAAAAAAGTTATTACATTAATCTCTCAAATATGCAATGAATTTTTTTATGTTATATTTTAAATTCTATAATATGTATTTTAATAAATGCATAATAATACTTTATTAAATAAAAATAAATTATATAATTTTTTTTGGCTTGTACACATATGTTAGAATGCACATCCTATGTGATAACAAGTAACTCTCGTTCACGAGTTGGAGCAACGTACTCTTCAAATCGTGATGCTGACGAACGATGTTCATCTACAGCATCTAGGTATTCATCCATTCAGGCACACATGCACAGAGTCGATATCACCCGCATTTGTCATTCCTGGACGTCCCGGTCTTCCCGTGCACGGCGACCTGCCAAGCCGGTCATCGAGAGGCCAGAGGCTTGAATGCTGTGGGAACTTCCTTGGCGTCGTCGGCGTCGTGATGGGCGGCTGCTGATCTACGAGAGGCGATGCGCAAAGCAGCGATCCTCGCAGCAAAATTGTTGGGTCGTTGGCTGGAGCATCCCTCCTATGCTCCTTTTCTACAACGACCTGGGCCCCATCTCCACCGCTTCGTAATCGCCGCCCAATTACAAACCTACCGTCATCGACAGCAGTTCATTTTGTTCCGATTTCGCTGAATTCTGCTGTCTTACTCGGACTTTATTATCTACAGGACGTTCTCTCCATAATCCCATCTCAGAGGCACTAAAATTGACGTCAATATGAGCTCTTCCTGTTCATTTTGAGACGCATCTCTAGATTTCTCCTTAGAACTTAGTGGTGCGCAGAAGTTTGCGACCAGGATTTTGAATCGTCCAGCTTGTAGACCCCAGTTTTTGCTCCTGCTATTTTGGAATTTGGAGCTGGGATGTGATTGTTCTGAATAGGAGTTGATTGGAGAAGCTGGAAAAGTTTACATTTCAGCCTTTATGGCTCTCTTGTCAAGAGAGCTTCGGTGGGTAGGGCGTGGTCCAGTGGTAAACCACCTCTCTCACATGTGCAGAAGGAGCCGAGGAGCGTCAGTAAGATTATTGTCAAGTCTTAGAGGTGGGGGGATCAATGTGAGGTTAACTGCGAATCGGAATGGGAGATTGAAGGGAGAGAAGCGGCGCAGACCAAGGATTGGTGTTTGCCATGCCGCCCAAGAGTCTTTGTATGAGACTTTAGGAGTGCCATCCACAGCTACAGAGAAAGAGATTAAGCGGGCATACAGGGCGTTGGCATTGAAATATCACCCTGACGTTAATAAACAGGTATGTCATGCTTCTCTTGAATCAAAGAATATAATTTGGCTACTGAATGCCAGTCCCCAGGGGACATAGCTGGAAAATGTAACCTTGAGCTTCGTCTCCTCTCTCTTAAAAGACATTCAAGAGTGTGAAAGTAGGCGAAGATCATTGTTTAAGCTCTAAACTTTGATGCTACGATCGAATCCAAAACCCCTGTTTTTTTAGGGCTCACGTGGGGAAACATGTGCATTTGGTTACTCGGTTCTGTGTCAGTCACAAACTGCGAGAATATGCTAAATTAAATTCTCAACAAGCCTGCTTCTGTAGTCTGAGCTCATAGTTTGTGTTAGCTAGGTCAAATTTTCCAGTTGTTTGAGGATACAGTGCTTAATTCGTAATGAAGCTTTAAATGTTGCTGGAGAATGCGATGCTAGATTTGGAGTGCCGTGTGTTACTTTTGATTTAAAGTTGTGGAATCGGTGTTGAATCGTGTGGCAGTTGGAATTGTTATGAATTAGGCATTCGTTCAATCAAGAATTACTGCTCACACTACTTCTTGTTCTTCCTCTTGCATTTTCTATCCATCGAGGCTTACGATGTTCTATTTGATTGTATCACATAATTAGCCAGGAGCTCAAGAGAAATTCTTAGAAATCAAGAATGCATATCAAACTTTGGTAGACAGTGAGAGCCGTTCTAAGTACGATGGGAGCAGTAGTACAGAATCGGATGATTGGGACCCTTTTCAGTGGGATTCTCCATCGAGATCGGGGCGGAAGCGTACAGAAGAGTTCTATGGACTAGGTATATCCGCAACGCACTCCTTATTTCAAACCTCTTGTGAATAATTGTCTGTTGTACCAGAGAGCTGAGCTATTCCTTGTATTCATTTCCTTCCAGTCTTGGAAGACCTTTTTTAATAATAGGGAAGGAAAAGCTCTTGTTGATACGAGGGATATGCAAGGTAGATGGATTGCTAAAAGAATGTTCTAGTCACTGAGAAAGAATTTTAAGCTTGAACGCAGGAATTGAGCTTTTTGTTCAGATGATAGTATACTGTTACTCTTTGAAAAACATTATTCTGTATCTGTTATTAGAGGGAGATGTGTTTTAGAATAATATGTGCATAGCAATCATGTTGATTGGATGAGAAGCTGCTTAGTGTTCAGAAGCTAGAAATGGGAGAGAAATATTCAGGTCGATCGAGAGAGGGAACTCATATGAAGTGGGTCGGTGGGTGCAGGCGAGTTATGGCAGGACTTGCAGGGCTCCTTTGGTAGAGCAACGGACCTTATACTGAAATTTCCTGAAAGATGTGTTTTACGTTCTATTGTGATTGCATCATCACGAAATTGATCTTCCCCGTGGATTCTCATGCAGACGAGTTCTTTAGGGACGTGCAGTCTGATCTAAGAAAGAGAAGTGCTTCAAGAAGCGCAACACCCAAAAGTCTGTGGGAAGAGCTAGCGGTAAGAGCTGTGTTTATACTTTGTACTGTGTTTATAATGTGGGTCACTCACATGTCTACAATCATGCTCATATGTTTTCTAGTAAATTTTGAAAAAGGAGATAGTCAACAATTACTGAACAATTTGAGGAACCAGCAAGCTGTATATACTGTGGCTTACGAGTATAACTACTTGAATGAGTCAGTTGGATTGAAGTGCTTTATCTCGTTAGTGATCTGATGATTGACAGCCTAGACGAATTGACCCTCTACCAACTTATTTCTTCAGAGTTTAATCCTACAAGCTGTTTGCAGGATTTATATTCACGCCATGAGCATCAAAATTCACGAATGATGTTTCCTGAAAAATCTTATTGTATTAAACTCTATTGCTTGAATCTTGTGTGTGTTCCAGGATATTGGTGAGGAATTTGTGGAGTTCTTAGAGAAGGAGCTGATGAGTGATGATGAGGATGAAAGGGGTTACTCAAGCTCCTGGAATCGAAACCAAGAGAAGGGAGATCGAAGCTCTAGATCAAGGTCGAGTAATACAGGTAGCAGGCCTCCTCGGTGGGATGACTCCTCTGATGAACGAACTAAAAACGTAGAAACCCACATAGCTGAAATTGAAGATATGCTTGAAAAATTGAAAAGGGACATGGAGAAATAACCTAAAATTTATGCATGATTCTTAATCCGTAGTAATGAGTACAATATAGCTAACCATTGCTTCGTTCATTCAATTACTATCAGCCTGTAACTTATCCGATATGAAACCGGTTTAAAAGCACACATTGTTTTGGAGTTGCGCAATGAATGTTTTTGTTTTCTGAATGACTTGAGGTGCTTAATAATGTGAGAAAATGAGGTGCTTCTGTGAAACAAGTTCATTTCATTTTATTGTTTTTCCAACATCTAGTTCATTATAGATGAAATCTTTGGCTAAAATTGAATGAGCTACATATCTGGTTAGGATTTGTATAAAGCCACTTGTACATTTGCTTTGTTGAAGTAATTTCACAAGTTTATTATAATCATTATTGATATTTGTAACTCAATTTTTTTTATTGTTTTAAATTCCTTTGTTTCAATTGGAAATAAGAAATTGTGAAATTGTTAATTGATTGCATCAATCTTATGATACACTAAGCCATAGTTGATGTAATCTATTTTAATCCAAATAAAGATTAAATAAATTTCATATTGGTATTAAGTATTAGCACTATTAAGAATTAAATTTGTATTTTATATTTTATATTTTGATTATTTTAACATATCAAATTAATAACAATTTGGTTTCTATTTTTTCAAATAGTTATTGATACAAATTAAAAAATTGTATAAAAACACACTTGTTAATTTAAATAGGAATTTTAAAATGATTATGACAATGATAACCTATGCATGTTAATAAAACTTGATATTAGATTTAGTTTTAAGAAATGTGTAAAAAATATCTTTAAGACTAGTAAACATCCATGAAAAGAAAATCATTTTTTTATTGTAAAATATCAATTATTAAAACATAATAAACTTTAAATAATATTATAAGGATAGAAATATTTCATATCACACTAAAACTATGATTATTTTTTAATACACTATAAATCTAAAACACACTTAAAACAAAACAAAATAGTTCAAATATTTATTTTTTGAATTTATGAAACTATTTATTTTTAAAAATACTATAATATCAAAAAAAATCTTTAGAAATGATATTTATAGAATTTTATAAAATATTTATTAAATTATTTTAATTATTTTGGTATGAAACATCAACAAAATATATTTATAATGAAATTCTTCAAAGACAACATGTGCTAATATAAACAAATGCTATAATATAAATGTTTTATGTTTCAGTTGTAATTAATATCTTTATTATTAAATAAAACTTATTATAATAATTAATCTCTAATTAGAATTTTTTTAATAAATCAACTAGATTTGAATAAATCAAAAAATTTATTAATTTCAAAAAAAAATTAAAATTATATGATATATTCTATATATTAATAGAATTTTAAAAAATACAACAAACTACTTGTCTCCTTAAATCCAAACACAAAATTAAGAGTACTAGAAACATAAAATTAAGAGTATTAGTAACACAAAATTGCTATTAAAATAAGCATGTTTAGACTTTTGTATATAATTGTACTATACTAATACACTATAGAATTCTACATAATTACTTTGTCATTTTTAGAGCCTAGCATGTATTTAGCCATCTAAAAATTATCCCATCTCTTGAAAAATGAAGACTCATATTGTTGATATTTTGCTAGTTTGTTTTTAAAAAATTCAAAAAAAATATCAATATTTAATAAGTCTTTTTAAAATCAAGCTTTTAGTTTGGAAGAAACACTATACTTTATTTCCAAAGACAAAGTTTTTTCTTTTAATTTAAATAGTCTAAAGACAAAAATCCCTTAATAAAGATTAGATTTTACAAAACAATAGAATTGAAAGGAAAGAGTTTTAGTAAAAACAACTTACTACTAAGAAAAATATTTCTTAAGACCTCAATTTCAAGAATCAGATATAGGGCAAATGAACATAGTCTCTTTACATGAACAAGAGTAAGACTAAGTATCTTTCTAATTTAATGGGTAGTCTTGACCAATGAGAGAATTCTATTTACATTGTATTATGTGGAATGCATTGAGCATGTGCCTATAAAAGGATTTGATTTTAACTTGAAGTTCAATTTACACCTCAAATACAATGCATAAGATATTTAAAAATATTTTTTTTCAAACTTAACAATTCAAATTAACTTTCAATTATACTAAGTATTTCTTAGAAAAATCCTAAAAAAATCTAATTATATTTTAATCAATTCCAATAGGACCTTTAAAAATCCTTAAAAATCCTAATTAAATCCTAAAATAATCTTAATCAATCTTAAAGAAATATTAGAGAAATCTTAAAAAATCCAAAAATAATTATGATTTTTTAAATTTAATTTTAATCAAAACATAATCAAATCTTAAGTAAATCCTAAAACTCCTAATCAAATCCTAAATAAATTCTAATCAAATCCAAAGTAAATTCTATAGCAAATTTAAAACCTCAATAATTATTAAATTAACTATTGATTTTGATTCAAGATTTTTAGGCTTATCAATATATTACTTAAAAAGAAGTATACAAAAGTAAAAGAAAAAAATATAAATAAAAATAAATATAAATATAAATATAAATAAATAAACAAATAAATAAACAAATAAATAAACAAATAAAAAAAACATACATACAAATTGAAAAAAAAAAAAAAAAAAAAAATGCTTCTAATGCACTTAAGTGTCAGTGGTCTTCTTACTTTAACTTTGATGTCAATCTTCTAACATTAATATCTCTTTTTTTGCATTGAGCTCATTTTTTTTAAATTTTTATAAATATTAAAAACTAAGTCAATTATCAATTGATAAAATGCTAATTTTAATCCAACTAGCAAATTGCTTAAAATTATAGAAACTCTCAATAACCTTTAAGATCCAATTGTAAAGATCCTAACTCACTTAAATCTCAATAAATTTGAATCTAAAAATCTATGAGTCATTAAATTCACTCACTTCCAGATTTAAAACAAAAATATACATTTAAGATGCCAAAAATTATATATTTAAAGAGGTTAGTATCGGAAATTCTAGACAAGTAAGAATTCTAGTGCTAGTTGTAGAAATGTGACTCCTTATAATAATTCTAGTCTAAGTTCTTCAGGTGATTACATTTTCTTAAATCCCTAATACTTGGTTGTTAGTTTTTTTTCTTGTTGCAAATGGTGATTAGTTAATCGATCATCAAGTAGGTACTAGACAAGTCAAGAATAAAGTTTTAAAACTATAAAAATTATAAAACATTATTAAAAAATCCTAAAGAATTTCTAAGTAAATTCTAAAATTATTCTAATCTAACTTTAAATATATACTAAGTAAATATGAATCAAATCTTAAGAAGACTCTAATAAAATCCTAAAAAAATCCTACAAAATCCTAATGAATCCTAAAAATATCTTATATAAATTCTATAAAATTCTAATAAAATTCTAAAAATATCCTAATCAAATATTAAGTAAATTCTAACTAAACCTTAATTCAATCTAATCAAATTCTATAGCAATATTAAAACTTTAATAATTATTAATTAAATTTATGGTCATAATTTAATTTTTTTATATATTATAATATATTAATCAATAATAAGCATAATAAATTTTAAAAATCCAACTATCAAATTGAAAAAAAAAAAAAAAAAAAAAAAAAAAAAAAACTCCTAATTTACTTAGATATAAGGTGTTTTATTTTTCCAACCTTGATGTTAATCTACTAGTAATTGTATCTCCTTATTACATTGTTCAATTGCCTTCAACCTATACAAATATACTTTAACTTAAGTTAACTATAAACTCATAATTTTTTTATCTCAATTGGATTGGTAAATTATTTAAGATTGAAGAAACTTGTACTAATCCTTGAAATCCAAATTTCAAGACCACAATCCAATTGAATTTCAATAACCTTTTACCTAATTTTTTTATTGACTTCTAACTCATAGAATATATTAATAAAAAACAAAGTAACAATTCTAAAAATTTCTATCTATTATTTTGCTATAATATATATATAATTTTTTTAAATATTTAAATACTTTTTAATTTTTTAAAATCCTAAATTTGTCAAAAATATACATATTTATTGTGATAAATTTCTAGATAATAAAAATAGGTGGAAGTAAGTTAAAGTAGATAAATATAATAATATCTTGTAGAAAGCTTTCTAGAAGCTTTATAGGTGTTGTTTGCCTTTAAACATGTCTATAGGTGATTGATAGATTGAAAACTTGGCCAACAAAGAGGCCATGTGTCGACATGTTGACTACTTGTAGTACAAGTTGGACATATGGCATACACCTAGAAAACTTGTCTTGCAAATTAGACTTGTGCCCTACAATTTGGATGCATATTAGAGGTTTTATTGCATGTCACTATGTAGTTCTTAGTTAAGTAGTATATATAGAGGCAAGAGTGAGGCCTTCTTCACTCTTCTCAACTTCTTTCTTGTTTTTAGTCTAGTTTCAAGAATCTTATGTTTTCTAGTCTTTGGTAATAGCCATTCGAGTTCTTCCTTGAATATATATACTTTCTTCTATTTTGTCACTTTTCTTCTAACACAGATTCCACAAATTTATGTATCTTCTTTCAGTTTGTGTCCTTGATAGATTGATAAGAGTATACATACAATATCAAAGCTTTGTCTTTTCTTGATTAAGAGTAGATTTTTCCTTTCTCTTGATAAGACATAAGCATATTAGAACTTACAGATTACCTTCTTCTAAATTTATATTATTTCTAGAATTTATTTTTATGTTTTTTTTCTCAATTCTTGATTATTGTATTTTGTGAGAATACACACCTTTCTTTTTATTGTGCTAGTATGGCAGAGCTTGCTAAAATGAAGAGTGCAATGGTTCAAATGCAAGAGCAAATGAAAAAGTTAATACTTGCAATGCATCAACTTAGTCTACCACTATAAGGAACAACAAGATTATCAAGCAATGAAAATATAGAGATGATTAGAGCTCCTTCAACATCTACAACAAGCCATATTATTGCTCCTACAATAAGACATCGTTTAAGTTTTAAAGAACCAAAAATTAGATTACTTGAGAAGTTTCATGGTACAAGATCTAAGTTTTGAGGATTCATCAATTATGTACAACTGGTAATTGAACTACAACCTCAAAGTTATCCAACTCAAGGATCACAAGTCAAGTTTATTGGAACACT